ATTTTTGCCTTATTTCGCGCCGATGTGCATGGCCCTTTTTTATGCAAATTTATGTTAGTCCATCATATTGATGGACTCGTCCTCTCAATTTGCCTTTGTAAAATTTGCATGTAGAAATTTTGAAATTGAAAGCAACAAACGCTTTTTTACACTAGATTTTAGATTATTCCAAACGCTATTAGCTATACGTCTATACGCTATATGTCACTATACGTCTATACGCTTTACATCGCTATACGTCTATACGCTTCACGTCGCTATACGTCTCTTCATCGCTATACGTCTATATGCTATACGTCTTTATACGTCTAAACGCTCTTCGATTTGCTCCAGAGTGAAAGTCAAGTCGTTTCCTTAAAAACAAGCCGTGTAATCAACATTATTTATTAACATTTCTCGTATGCTAATTTAGGAAAACGGATTGTGTAATCAATAAGTACCGATTTTCGGACTTGGTAGTTATATAACTGTTCTTTCATTTTGTTTTGTTTTGTTTTGTTCTTTCAAAACAAATATTGATCGTTTCCAAGGGATTAACACGAATTTCCATCTCATTTTTTTTGCACGATATTTGTTTTTTCTTTTACGGGGTACATTTTAAAAAAATTCTCATGATTTTCTGATGCTTTGTGATCAGCTCAAATTTTTTTCAAATGAACTTTAGAAAGCACAAAGTGTCACAACTTGTGAATCAGTCAATTAGATGGATTTAAAAATTGATTCAAGATCTTTAAAAAAAACCCATTGAATATTGCAAAAGCTAGATATTTCGTTCACATTAATATTCTTTGAAGACTTGTGAGCTTTTTTGGGCTGGAGCTATGGATTTACTTCAAAAGACATTAGCAGGACTCTGAGAATTTTGAAACTTTTATTTCACAATTAGTTAAGCGTTTTCTAAAAGGCTCTAGTTTTGCTCAAGAAAAAGCTACCGTACTTCCAATTGAAAGATATTCAGTTAATTTAACCAATCTGCGTTAAAAGCTCATTACTGGCCATTACTTTAGCAATTTTGAAACTTCCTTCCACTAAAAAGCTATTGTACATTGAGTACTTTCATCTTTGAAAGATATTTCGTTAACTTACAATTATTTAGTACAATTATTTAGTACAATTATTAGTCCAATTAGTGCAATTATTTCCGTAAGCTTTCACAGCTCGAGAATTTTCAAACTTCTACCTCTCCGTTTGCTTAAAATTGTTTATTCCTATGTAGCTAGGACTAAATCTATTGTATCTGTAAATGAAAAGGCAATCAATAAACGATATGAGGTTAATTTCCAAATTACTTCAATCTGTATACCTTACCTTTATTTCAATCTGTATAACTAAAGTTAAAGGCTTTGACAAGACGACCGGAATTTTGAAACGTTTACCTCTCAAAACCAAAGCTAGGCGGATCTCTACGCAAGAATCCAAAGAACGTTATGGCGGTGACGCGATTCTCCAATAGCCATCTCATAGTACCATTGTGTATGCGTTTAGTAGTGTCGCGTAGCCGCTGTTCTTTGTACTCTTCCGGATCCGAATCCACTCGCCCCTGCTCAAAATCAGTTGAGCGTTTGCTAAAAAGTGCTTTCAAAAGCTATCGTACTTTCAACCTAAAAAATATTCAGTTAATTTATCAAAGGTTACCGTAAATACTGTAATAGTACCCCACCCCCATAATGACGGGGCGGAGTGTTGCGTAGTCTAGCTTTGGACGCGTTTTTCTTGACATTGGTTTTTGCTACAACGTGCGCTTAGGTATCAAAAAATAGCTGAAATTCAGGGCTATTTTTTGATACCAAAGACGCATTTTTTGAAAGTACGGGTGCTTTGCAAAAAATGAAATACTAAAAAACTTTTGCGACTACGCGACTGTACGAGGCGGGTGGGGTACTATTACAGTATTTACGGTAAGTAAATCTTCATTATCAGCCATTATTATGACGAGGTGTTCAGCATTTTGAAACTTCCTTCACCAAAAGTGATCAAGAAAAAAGGAAAAAAATAAGTGTTTCAAAATTTTTGTATAATCGGCCGCAAAATGCGTGATTAGTCCCTGGGGATTCAATAATTTTTACACAAAAAAACAAAACATTTCCAAAAATTTGAGGGAAAAAGATAATCCAGCAAAACACGACGCAATCGCTCATTTGATGTCAGTGGGGATAATCCAAATGAATGAGAAAAGAAAAGAAAAGAAAAGGGAAATAGATTAAGAATCTGTAAAAAGAGAAAAATCTTGTTTCAATCTACTCTCGCAGAAAGTTCAATGCGAAATTAATTCCGTGACAAAATAAAAACTACGACTTCTTCATTAAAGGCCAAGTCACATGGATTAGTCATCAGTAAAAAAGATAAAAGAAAAACTCGAGAAAATCCGAAAAACACCCAATAGAGTGTAGCAGAAATTTGGGTGGGAAAATTCTCTCTTTTATGATTTTTTTGCCTGTTCTTTAGGCCAGAAATCGGACTTTTTGAGCTCATCCTTTCCTCATTTTTTTCTCATACTTTTCGCTCAGCTGATTGATCTTTCATATAAAGATTTTAGTTCCAGAATTTTTCTTCTTTAAAACCCGCAAAATTTCTGATGCTTTCAGATTTTTGTCAAACTTTTAGACTCTACTGTAATGATTCGAACTTTTTCTTTCTTTTCTTTCTTTCTCTCTTCCTTTCTCTTTCTTTCTTTCTTTCTTTCTTTTTCTTTCTAGCTTACTGCAGCTGACTTACTAGGCGACTGTAAAAGCTTAGCTTTTACACCTGGCTTACTGTAATCGGACGACTACAGTAGTCCTACAGACGTCTTAAACAGCTACAGCCTCATAACAAACGAGCAGTACGGTAGTTAGGGTATGGTAGCCTAGTTTATTGTAACCGGATCACTACAGTAATCCGTAAATAGTTAGGGTACGATAGAGCAATGATAGGCCTTTTTGATTACACAAATTATATTAATTATATAGAGGTTTTATGCGTTCCAGAAAAATGAAAAGTCGACGCCAATTCACACTCTTCAACCCAATAGTTAGGGTACGGTAAAGTAAGCGAAATTTTTGTAAAAACCGCAATTTTTGGCAGCATTATGCTCGTTGAAACTGAAAAATATCCAAAAATCACTGGATTCTGGGTTTTGGTAGCTGTTTGGAGCTGTTTGGGGCTGTTTAGAGCTGTTTAGAGCTGTTTGGAGCTGTTTGGAGCTATTTGGAGCTGCTTGGAGCTGTTTAGAGCTGTTTGGAGCTGTTTGGAGCTGTTTGGAGCTGTTTAGAGCTGTTTGGAGCTGTTTGGAGCTGTTTGGAGCTGTTTGGAGCTTGGTTTCAGCTTCCCAAAAACATTGGTTTCAAGTTATGAAAGGTTAAAGCCGTTTTGCGCCATTCAGTGATTGCAATTCAATTCAAAAATTTGAATAAATTGAAACCAGCACTCTATTCTACAATTTTCATCACTATTCATTACTATGATTTTATTACGATTCATTAAAATTGCTATTCAAATTGAAAAACTTGAAACTAACACATTTACAACGGAAGAAAATCTATTTCCCATTTCCTATTTCCCAAAAAAAATGAGAAATGCTTATTGCTAAAGTTGGTGCCAAATTTCGAAACCACAAATGAGTTGCGTGTTTTTCGAATTTCTCCACCGAACTCTGCAAATGCTAATCCGAAAATTCGGCAAAAGTTCATTTGAAGTTTTTTTTCGTTTCTTTTTGAAGCAAAAAGTTTTCTTTGTCGTTTCCGCAAAAATCACATGTACCAAAAAATTTCCTTTCAATAATAACACGTCAATTTCGATAATTAGGCTGGTAATTACGATTCCACATCAAATTTCCTTTTTCCCTTTCGATTTTCAGTCTTTGAAAACTCGAGGTGTAGATTTTTCGTGGAAAAAACGCCCACACTTTTTTCGTTTTGGACAAAACAAGTACTGTGAATTATTGAAGCAAAGAAAGCACTGGGAAATTGGTTTTTTTTGCATTGTGAATGTATAAGTTTCAAGTTTTTCAATTTCAATTTCAATTTCAGTTCATTGGGTTAATAATAGCGGACATATGCATATACCGTATTCTCTCCAATAGAGTGCACCCAGAGCGTTGCCTAAATTTCTCGAAATCTCGAAAAGCGCTTATCAGAACCTATCGATCTGGGGTCGGAAAATGTAGCTGACGATGAGATCTTGTGGGGGATTTGAGTGTTCAGCTTCTGTGAAAAGCTGTAAAATAGTCATCAACTCGACCTGATCTGAGAGTGCTGAGCTTCTGCAAAAGCTTGGAAACCGTAAAATCATCACCAATTCGGCTCGCCGGGGTGCACTACTATTAGAGAGAATACGGTAATAAGACATAAAGGTCTAACGAGTGGTCTCTCTTTATAAGGCTTACGCGTGTGGCTCTCAAGGATCTCCATATTATTTGTAGCTACTTTTTATTATATTATATACCAATAATGTAATAAAACAAAGGATACATACCGTATTTTCTCTAATAGTAGTCCACCCAGAGCGTCGCCTAAATTGCTCGAAATCTCGAGAACCGCTTATCAGAACCTATCGATGTGCGGTCGGAAAATGTAGCTGACGATGAGATCTAGTGGGGGATTCGAGTGTTGAGCTTCTGTGAAAACTCTGAAAGCTGTAAAATAGTCACCAACTCGGCTCGGCGGGGTGCACTACTATTAGAGAAAATACGGTATTTATTTGCATTTCTTTTATTTATTAACGGAACATTATTCTGTACAATTCCTTTTGTGCAAAACAATTCCTTTAGAAATATCTTGACGATTTTAAAGAAAGAACTAGCTTGGGAACTTGAAAAGTTAAAATTTTAGCGGAAAATTGAGATTTTCTTGTTTCAATTTTTCTTTTCATTTGCTCGATCGTAAACTATAAAACCTCTTAAACTATTAATGTTCTCTTATTCTTACGGTACCGTCTAACTTGATTTTTTTTTCTTGTTTATTAACTTTTTACCAATAAGTAATTGAATTTATTCGAGACTTGAAAATTTCAGGCTTCATTGCATGGATCGTGCCTTTCAAACGTTCCGACAACGACCATATTCATCGGCTATCGAACTGTTGCATGAGGTTTTGTTTTTGGGAAAATTTTAACCTTACCACAAATTTGTTAATGCAAAAATGACTTTGAGATTGAACTTTGAAAAACTTATTTTTTCAAATTCCAGATTCGATCGATTTGCGAGAATGCTTTCGATTTGCACCAAAGCCGCGACGATCCAGTGAATGGAGTGGCGAAAGATGTGCATGTGAGTGAGGAGGGGGAAATGATAGGATTTTGATAGGATGTCGATATGATTTTGCTAAAATACTGTAAAACACTAAAATTTCATTAATCGAGGAGAAAAAAAGCCCATTTTTTTCATTGATGCAGCTTTTCGCCGTTTGACTCTAACGAAATTGAAACTTTACTTTTTTCAAAGAAACGGTAAATCATACACCATTCGTCCTGTTTTCCTTTTCACCAATACGTTTTCTAAAAAAGCACCTATTTTTATACAAACTACCGTAATCCAGGGGACTGGGGCTTTACATTACTGTCAAAACTCATACGTCGAAACCGAATCCAGTGCTCCGAGGTGAAAATGTTTCAAAGTCTCAAGTCATTTTCAGGATTTCATCCACGAGCTCTTCGAGGAACAGGATCGTTTGAAGAATGGCGGTGAAAATGGCTTTGAAGGGGAGGAGAATTTCGACACTTTCCCCCAAAACCCATCAACCTCAAAAGAAAGCAACGAGCATTTGGGTAAAAATGAATAACTTAAACTGAACTTAAAAATTCAAATTTTCAGTCACCGCCAACGTCACTCCGACAAACGCTCAGCAGATCAATTTGCTTTTGCTAAATGAGGTATGAGGGTACTTTGTGCTGAAGAAAAAGTAAACACACTGGTCGAAAAGGTTGAAGCGTCGATTTTCAGTTCCGTTTTCACTTCATTGATCGTTTTTCCGTGAATGTTGTTCCCAATATGGGGTCTAGCTCGTGGTGTAAGCTTTGGTTTTGGTCCTGGCTTCTTCTTTGGTGCAGAAACGAACTCGGACTTTCTATAATTTCGCACGGCAGAGTCGGATCGGCCCAAATTTTCAACGCCATTGGGACCATCCTAATTCCATTTCTTCTCATCGGAAAAGATCACCTAAAAGCAAAAAAAAATAATAAAACATAAGCGGCTTTCTAACCATAGACCAATCGCGATTCATATGAGCCTTGGCGAACGCCAATCGGGCTTTCTTGTGCAAAAGCTTCACGACCGGTTGTTCAATAATTGTTCAATAATTGTCGATCGATATGTGGGTTTTCCTTGATGGTTCGCCAAAATGTCGACTTCGAAGCGTCGATTTTCAGCTCCGTTTTCACTTCATTGATTGTTTTTCCGTGAATGTTGTTCCCAATATGGCGTCTAGCTCGTGGTGTAAGCTTTGGCTTTGGTCCTGGCTTCTTCGTTGGTGAAAAAAACGGCCTTCAACTTGATACAATTTCGCACGGCACAGTCGGATCTTTTGCCCAAATCTTTTGCGATTTCTCTTATTGAGTTTGCTTCTCCGCGAATTTTAAAACGCGCATCAATCTGGCCTTTATCATGATCCGTGAGCAGCTTTTCCGTGTGCCATTCACCTGGAAATTAACAAAACTTATAATTTAATAATAAAATATGCACAAGAAAAGGAAAACTTTTACACGACAGTAAATGCGGGTGTAAACACGGGTGCGCCTATGAAGTAGTCAACACACACACACACTAAAAAATTGAAATCTTTGTCCTCAAATTGTCAATGGAATTACAATCGACTCTCCAAATGAGGATTCTGTCGGGATCGCGAAATGAAATCATTATATCGAAAATTGTTATATCAAAAATCGTTATATCGAGAGCCGACTATATCCCCACAAAAGTCAACTACGAATCGTTTTCGTTGAAACTCAACTTTTCAAGGCAAACCACCGTTTTCCAGGTTCTCCAACAACGCCAAATGACAGCCGAGCTCGGCGTTCGACTCATTCAAATTTTGGCGGCTCAAAACGAAACGAACAAACCGATACAACAAGTCGGAAATCTCGGCACGACAACGAGCACTGGGAAGCGAAAATTATGCTGGGATCAGGTGAGGTTTTAACCTAAATCAATTCCCTTAAAAATTGAACAACTGCTAATGTTTACGTTACGTTAAAGAAAATATATTAAACTGAAAAATTTAGAGTTGAATCGTGATAAATTGAAACATTTCTTTTTGAATCGCAAAGTTAACAAGGAAATTCTTTATTGACTAAAAGAAAACATTTTTCTTTGTTCACTACAGAATTTTATTTTTTTTAATTCTTAAAATGAGACTACAATTGCAGTTTATATGCACAAAAATATAATCGAAACGGATTGAAAAAAGAAAAGTTTTAACTTCATTAATGTATGGATTGTAATAAAGGTGCCGAAAAAGATGAGACACAATGATTTTAACCTAATTTTTTTTAGCACTCCGACTCCGATGAAGAAGATATCGTTGAAAATAATGGAAATTGAAATTTTGTGTAAAAATTTGTAAATTTTCTGTCTCAAACTGTTTATTACTCTAAAAAAATGCCCAATGAATCTCAAATATCGCAAATGCTTTCCCCAAAAATTCGTCGAACCTCTCTTTTTTTTGTTGAGTCGGGTGCTCTTTTGTCAATGCTGAAATCTGATCGATTGTATCTTTTTTAAACTTCTTTAAATTGAAATTGAAATTGAATAAAGATGTACATTTGAGATGAAGACGATGAATTAATTGAAACATTTTATGTTTTGGATTTTTTATTTGAAACCATAACTTTCAACACATACCTGTGTTGACAGCACATCTTTTTTGAAGGTTTGTGTTGATGTTTAAATATTGCAATTCTTGTGAAATCAAATGTAGCTTACATACTTTAACTACAGTAGTAAGTAGACATGAGTACAGACATGGCCTCGAACAACGGGTTTTTGAAAAGTCCGGCAAAGACTTTAAAAAATGTTTTAATTTCAGCTTTACAGTTCTGACATTGTTATTAGATCTCTTTGTATAGTCTTTTCAAATTATCTTGAGCAATGTATGCTTTATTCGAACTGCGAGCCCATATTTCAGTGTTCCATTCATACAGAGTGCGCCATAATTGTCGCGACAAGATAAAGTTTTGGTTTTAAGGCAGACAAGAGCAAAAAAAGACAAATTTTTAACTGATAACATTTATTGTACATTAACAATTATGAATCAATTATCAAATTCGAATCGGTCAGCATTAAAAAATAGAAATTTTAAATTTGATAACTTTTATTGTATTTAAAGTAAATTCAAACTATTGAATTCAATCTGACAACTGCAGGCTTTATCTTTTTCACTACAGTTAATTTAATATTTGATTCTCTACTGGGAAGTATTTGCTACTGATTCCATCTGAAGTCTGTGGATTTGTGAGGTTTTACCATCACCAGAACAATCAAGTTAGCTCATACTTGTTTGTTGAAATATATTACCAGAACAATCAAGTTCGCTCATACTTGTTACCCGCTACACAACATCTAAACATCTAAACAGTACAACAATGGGGCAGTTGTACCTATTTTCTAAACTTTTTTCGATAAAATTTCTAATCAAGTTGGTATTGATTTTTAGTACATAATACATAATAGCTATAACATAAACCACTTGTTGCTCATCGTTTTTTCTCTCTTATGTGTGAAGGGGCAAAAAGTCGGCGAAACTTGTTCATTAGCTACTGTTTTCGGTCATTCCGTGTTTCGTCTCGTGGTGCGACACTTTTGAATCGCACTTTTTTAAAACCACCTGGCCTGGCTTCGTTTTTATGTTCGATTTAACAATTTTCCTTCTGGATTCTTCGATTTTAATTTTTCTTTTTTAGGAAATGACCAGAATAAACATCGTGAGTGTGAACTTCGTCAACAATCCGTGCTCCTTCAAGCAGCCGTTCAAGCTCGAGGTCACCTTTGAGGCGTTTTCTCATCTTGAGAAAGGTAAATTTATTTGTGATTGGTAAATGGAATTAATAAGGCTAATAGTAAGTGCGATAGCCACAAGTTTTATTGGCAATAATTACTCAATTGTTTTTAGCGTTGATTTAAATACCTATTTGTGTACTGCTAGAAGCACAGCGTAGTGTTATTCCAGTTTCAAAATCATTCTTGTTTCAGATATTGAATGGCAGCTCATCTACGTCGGCTCTGGTGCAAGCAGTGAACATGACCAGCTTCTCGACTCTGTTTTCATTTGGCCTACACCCGAAGGACGGCATCAATTTGTGTTTCAGGTTTTGATATTTTGGTGCTTTTGTATGCCCAATTTTTTTTGACTGATCCGGCTGATGTATCGAAAATTCCAAAAGATGCCCTCCTTGGTGTAGCCGGGCTCTTGCTCAAGGCGAAATACGATAGACAGGAATTTATTTGTCTCGGCTGGAATGTGCAAGTGCAATACAATGAGCCGGAGTTCAACGAAAATCCACCAACCAAAACCGATGAAAGCAAGGTATTTAGTTAGCAAAGTAATTTTTTGACTAAAAAATTTGATTTAGCTAGTTCGTCAAGTGATGGTCGACGGTGTTCGCGTTACGAACTATCCAATTAAAAGGGATGATTTAATCGTCGATGAACCAGTTGTCGAGGAACTGACAAGTTTTTATATTGTTGACACATTTTACTGCGTATTCAGATTGATGGCGAAGACATTGCCATCGATCTTGGTGCTGAAGAAATTGAAGACGGTGACGGTGATGGCAATGCCATCGATGAACAACAGAGTTTGTTTCAATTGGTCATCTTTTTGCATAGTTAAATTATAAAAACGTAGTTTAACTTTTGGACATGGAAGTCGAGAATGGACTCAAACAAAAAATTTATTGTTTCTCTCAAGTAATCACCCCAAAAATCCATGCATCTCCGAGTCGATATCAGCCAACTTAAAGATCGTTTTATTGAAGGGATAGACTATACGATAACTCAAGTGACCCCTAAATTACGAACAATGAGCTTACGTTTCGAAAACAAGTGCAAAACATTCAGTGATACTCTAAAGCACGCAAAATTAGGCGTTACGCGAGAGTAAGAAAAAGGTTGAGCTATTCTCGGCTAAACTTAATGTTCCAGCATTTCCGAACAATAGCGTCAGAAGTTTAAGTGAGAAATATGAATATTATTTTTGCAATTTGTTTATGTTAGTTTCTGATGATGTTGTCGCGTCATCGAGTGAAGAGGCAAAAAGCGATGATCCGGAAGTGTTGGAGCAAATCGAACGAGAAAGAATTATCGAAATGTATGAAAAGGTAAAGCATTAGGAATGGTATCAGATTAATATTAAAAGAGTAAAAAAATATTACGTTTTACGAGTTTATTTAGGGACCTGAGGATCCGTGGATCGATGACTGGGAGAACCTCGATTGGGATGTGTACAGAAAGACAGATCGTCACGGTTTCATACAGTTTGGTTCATGTGTTTTTAACGACAAATATAAATTTAGCAAAGAAGGCCTATCGGAAGCTGAACGTGTTCAAAGTGAAAAAGAACGAATAGAAACAGAAGTAAGATTTAATTGACGAACCATAATAACTATTTTAACTAACGAAATTTGATCCCGTTTGTTGGTACAAAGAAAAAAGCAAACTCCAATTTTGGTGTGATTAGCCGTTTTTAACTATCTGTCTATCTTTCAAAAGATTTCCTGGAATTTTGTTTTTTCACAGAGGCTTAACTGCAATTTTTTAAATGTCAAAAGCTTAGCCAATTGCAATACACAGCTTTCAAATATTGAGCTTTTAGATTAGACGCGAGAAAAAATGGCTCTCAATGTTATCACAATGCGAAACGGCCGGTGAAAAAGTTAGATGAACGAGTATGGAAAGGAGTGCCTCTCAAGCTACGGATACGAGTAGGATTTACTTAAAACTTTAAGCCTAAAAATTATTTTTGTCACGTGGTGCTCTATGTTTAAAACTGAACCACTTAAGGTATGGCCTAAGTTGCTTGGAATCGAGGAGCTGAAAGCCCAGAGCAAAGGAGACGATGTAAAAATTTCATTTTATTACAACTGAACTCGTTATATAGATTTATGTCAAACTAGTGGACAGAGCCCGATTAATATCAAAGGACATCAAACAAATTGACCTAGACATCAATCGAACATATCGAGACAATCAGATGTTTCGCCGACGATATGGTATCAAGTAACGATTTTAATTTTGAAGTATCAAGTAACAATTTTTGAAGTAGTGTTAACACTTAACGACTGAATAGCAATTCAGTTAAAAAAAAAACAAAAACAATAATATCATTTCAGGCAAAGGTCTTTGTTAAACGTGCTTGCTGCTTATTCGATGTACAACACGGAGGTCGGCTATTGCCAGGTAAACGATTTATTTATTAGTCATCAACTTTTCTTATTCGGGGAATGTCTCAAATCACCGCTCTTTTTCTGATGTTTCTTGATGAAGAAGAGGCTTTCTGGTGTCTTCACGCTTTGATGGTTTCTGAAAGGCATTCAATGCATGGTGAGCTATATATTTGTTTGTTTAATAGTAGTGTTTAATATACTTTTTACAGGTTTCTTTGTGCTCGGTTTTCCAAAATGGCAACGATTTGAAGAGTACTTTCAGAAAATTCTCAAAAAGTATAAACCAAAAGTGCACAAACAGCTTGTGAGTTTTTTTTACTAACCGAGTTGTGAGCTTCCAGTTTGCAAACTGGTAATGGTAATGAGTGCTTAGGAAAAGGAGGGGATTCCCTACAGCTACTTAACAAAATGGTGGTTCGGGTGTTTCTTGGCAAGTTTATTTTTTTTGTAACGATCATTGGGTTAATGCAGGATCGGGTACCTTTTCCGCTTGCTCTGAGACTTTGGGACGTTTTTCTTTATGAGGGTGACACGATACTGATGGCTATGGCTATTAACATTATGAAAATGCATGAAAGTTTGTTCAAAAATTATATTAATTACATATTTTGTTTTAGGATCAATACGGAAGTTAACTTTGGAAACGTTTATGAAGTTTATTCAATCAACGCTGGCCGAGGATTTTCAATTTCCAGATGATGAGGTGATGAAATCGCTGCGAGAAGTTTTGACCAAATTGATTGTGAGCCTTATATGTGATTACTGTTTTATGAGTAATTTTAGAGTGATCGTACACAACACCCTCCACCACCAGGTCCCGAAGCATTACCCGAGGTTTGTTTTGGTTAAAAAAAAAAAAGAAAGAAAAAGATAAACCTGAACAAACTTTTGTTTTATTGTTTCACTCTTAACATGTATTATTTTAGATACCGACAAAGGCTTTTGGTCCAGTGCTGGCTCGTTCACTGAAGGAAATCCAAGATCAAGTGTCGGAATTGCGGAGTCGATCTAGTCGAGCTAATTGTAATACTACTAGCGTTTCTTAGCAATTTGAATTGTAAAGAAATAACCTACTTTGTGAGTAATAAGAATAGTGAGTGCTTTCGTCGTTTTTGGTGCATATTTAATGTCTCTCACTTTTTTTATATTAAGGAATATTAAATACTAAGTTGATTTGTGCTTTTTTCACTCCAATAACAAATAGTAATCACTAAGCAGTCGAGATTAATGGTATATCAATTTATCAAGCCAAGGACTAAAAGTACGCCCTCTAGAAATTTCTACAAAAACAGAAAATTAGCTGGAAAATCTACCTTAAAGCATTTGTGTTGAATTGTTGAATTACTACAATTGAATTACTCAAATAAACCAACAAGACAACAATTCAAAAATTCAGCCGCTGCAACTGGTCGGACTCCACAAAGTCGGCGCAGGAATGGCCGAAATCATCAACTCCGCAACTCCGTTAAATAAAGGTAACAACAATTACAAAATTCAGATCTCAACATAGGGTCTAGTCCAATAAACGAGACAGTCATTTCACGTATGGAATGGTTACAATAAGCATAGCTTCAACGAGTCTTCTTCATCGAGAAACCCCTCCACTTTCCGCTGATGACTTAACAGTGAAAACTCGCGAGATTGGGATCTCAAAAAAGGGAGAGATTTTCTCAAGTAAAAGCTTTAACGTTAACTTTAGAATTTAAATCTTGCTTTTCCAAGGGCTTTCCTAGCGGAAAGAAAGAATAAATCGGTGACAGTTTGAAACAATGATGTAAAAAATTACTTTTCCTTATTTTAGCACAACACAACGAATTTGACGTAATTTGAAAGCCGAATGTTTTACATACATATTTTGAGGATAATTTTTGTTTTGAAAACCAATTGAAACTACTACAGTTTTGTTTTTAGATTGATTATGTTTACTTCGATGACGAGTTAAATGAAGATGTCCACCAAAAGGAAAACTTCTCTCCCGAGCAACTTTATCAATTTTACGTGTTGACTCTCCATGGAAAAAGCCTGTTGGTGTTTGTTTCTATTAGGTTGAGGAAAAAGTAATGTCGGTTTTGAATTCCCGTTGTTGGCAATTTTCCAGTTCTTTGCTTATGCGATTTTTTTCAAATAGATATCAGCTAGACGCTCTATACTTTCATATATTTGACTTTTACAAATTTTTACAAATTTAATAATATTTTCAGGTACAAAATGCAAGACGAAAAGTTTCGACTTCGAGCCGCTTTGTGGTATGATTTTAAACAAGGGAAATCCGCGGCTGAATCGCATCGGACAATCATTGAAGTTTTTGGGGAAAACAGCATTAGCGAAAGACAATGCCAAAGATGGTTTCAGCGCTTCAAAGATGGAGATGAAAGTTTCCAAGACGAGGACGACCCCAAGAGATTTCAGATCAGGATTTGCTTGATGCCATTGAACTCAATCCAACCCTTACCACTCGTGAGTTAGCGGACAAATTTGGGATCGACCAAAAAACAATCGACAATCACTTACATCAATTAGGAAAAACAATTCACTGCGGAAGATGGGTTCCTCGTGAACTGACTCAAGGCAACAAAACAACTCGTGTTATCGTTAGCTCTACTTTGCTTCAAAAAGGCAAATCTCATGATTTTTGAGGAAGAATTTTAACATCTGATGAAACATGGATTCAATATGAGAATGTGAAGCACAAGAATCAGTGGCTTTCTCTAGGTCAACCCCCACAACAAACTTCAAAACTCGGTATTCATGGAAAGAAACTTATGCGTTGCTGTTGGTTGAATACAAAAGGTTTGGTGTATTATGAGTTGTTGAATTCGGGAGAAACTGTCACCCTGATCTTTATTCAAAACGGTTGATGAGAGTTAACGAGGCTTTAAAGAAATTGGGTGTTGAAACATCAAAAGTGCTATTTTTGCATGATAATGCAAAACCTCACACTACAAAAATCATTCACCAAAAAAATTGACGAGCTTGGTTGGAAACTTCTGCCCCACGCACCTTATAGTCCGGACCTGGCCCCTTCAGATTATTTTTTGTTTCGGTCGTTGAAGAGTTTTCTTATGGGAGAAAAGTTCGAGAATCATGCACAGATCAAAAAAGCAGTCGACACTTATTTTTGGCTCGAAAACTCGCCATTTTTTTGAGGATGGGATCAGGGACTTGCGACGAAGATGGGAACAAGTCATCAATAATAATGGAGAATATCTCATTGATTGATGTGCGTTTGTTTATGTTTTTAGCACTAAACAATTTTGTGACAAAAAGCGACATTACTTTTTCCTCAACCTAATATATTGATTTGATTAGAATCTGATAAAAAATGAAAATTTTTGCTGGAAAATCTTTAGCGTCATTAGTTTCCAGGCAATAATCCAAAATTACTAGTGTCATTATCCCAGAAACATAAATAAAATCGAAATTCATAAACACGGACCGAATGTCTGAATGGATGAATGAAGGGAGAGGATCGGCTACACATAAAACCATAAGGATAGGGGAAAAATGGGTAATGAAAAGGGTTCTTTTTCCTCATTCCCCTTTCCCGAATGGTGTTATGACCGTGAATGGGTTTTCGGTGAGGGGAATATATAAGGAATCAAGCAAACTAAACTTGTCAAAATGTTTGCTTGTCGCCGTTAAAGTTAAAACACGTTTTTATTCGTTTCGTTTAAATGCGCTCTGTCTATTATTTCGAATTTCTGTCTATTATTTGCGCTTTATTTCGAATTTTTAGTGCAGCCGGAAGAGTTGCTTAAAATTTTCTTTAACTAAAAGTCAAACCATTTCCATTTCACCATATCAGTTTGATTAGGGTTTAGTTTTATCTCCAAAGTAAAAAAAAAAACTTGAAACGTGATTTTTGCATTAAAGGAGTATTCCAGCCCTCAGCAAAATCCGATTTTTGCTTCAAACCATTATAAGCCGTTCTCAGCGACCGGCGCCTGCTAATGGTACGCAAAGTGAGCCACTTTTTCATGAACCACTATTAGAATATTTGCTGTGTTCAAGTTTAACATTTTTTTTATGTTGAAAAATCGGGATTCTTTTTTCTACGATACATTTTGTTCAGTTGTTTGAAAATTTGCTTTAAAAAATCTATTTTTAAAACCTGAAACCGAGATTTTGACGAGTTGTCATTTTGGCAAAACAGCTTATGACACTATCATAATCGGAAATCGAATCGAACTTTGTTACTGAGCCATTTGAAACTCAAACTTTGAGATCGCTCAATTTGTAGTTTCAACTTTTCCTTCTTCTATTTAAACAAATCAATTTTATTAGCTTATAAATCCTTCATTTCTTAACTTATTATTTGCCAAGCTTTCTGGTTCTTGGGGTTTTCCATGACCCGTGTTTCTAGACAAACCAACGATGGGCTCAACGACGAACCTGGTGGCAAGTGTGGCCACAATGGGAAGCGGTTTATGCATGATTGTTGTGTTGATCCTTTGCGCACATCTCGCCTGGGATATCAACAATTTTCATGAGGAAACAAAGGAGAATATGGGAGAGTTTCAGGTAATAAGTGTTTATGATTGGTCGTTTATTAGAGTTAGTTCATACAGATAGGAGGGGGCAATTTTGAAACCGACAAATCTCAAAATGAGCCTTCTTTAGAATTACGCAAACGAGGCGTGGGGAACATGTTGACGCAGATCTCGATGAGCACGCCTAGCCAGGTTTGGCATTGAAACTTTACAGAATACAATTTCTATAAATTAAAACGATTTTACGCGATCAAACCACTGTTTCACAAATCTTTACTTGCAACTATTTTTCAAGTTTCAAAGTGAGCTCCTTTCCGGCTTTTCGGTGGAATTTCAATATCAAAATTCTATCGTTTTAAACAAGAACAAAACTAATTGACTCAATCACAGCCAAAGGCCGACTAGAATTAAAACTAGCATTTTTCTGACTACTACTTTATTCAATTCATCTTTAAACCCATACTCTAAATAAAATTTATCGAATGATATCATTTCTAGCTTTAAACAATGCCTTTATGAAATCTATTCTTTAAGATAGCTTTCAAATAACAAATTTTTCTACACTCTTAGAGATCCAAAAGAGGCGCCGAGAAGAAATTAGAGAATTGCAATTGCGGAGAACATCACGATCATGGATGTCCTGTTGGACCACCCGGACCAAAAGGGGAATCGGGTGAGTTTTTGGGGAAAAGCCTGGCCGATGAAGCTGTAAGATTGAGAAAGACAATGACTCATTCCTAGGGTCGATTTTTCAGGCCAGACAAAGCCAAGACAAGCCAATTTGTTGCTCAATTTCTCGTCAGGCCAAGCTTTAAGCTTTAGGCCAAAAGCAACAGTAAGGTTGAAAATCCAGACCAAGGTCAATTGAAAGCTTTTTGCTTGGCTAGTCATGGCTTTTGATTTTTGGATAGCCCTGCCGATTGGCAATGGATTTGAAAATTTTCAACGCATAGGAATATAAACTTGCTTCATTTTGGCGACACAAAACGATGTTTTGTAGAATCAGAGTTACGAGTCGTTTCAGTTGAAACTCGAAACTTTCAAAGAGTACAGAAAATTATTTACTTTCAAATTACTGTAACTGCAACTGTAACCAATTACCGTAGCCCAATGTAATAGGTTAGGCCTCCACGGGTCTTACTGTAAACTCCTCTGATGCCAGTATCCTTTCTCACCACAGTATGCCTAAAAAAAAGTAACTAGGCCCTACGACTTGCTATTTTTTAATCGAAAAATTTGCCCACAAAGTAATTATATTATATTTTTTATATTTTTTATAAAATCTATCTTTTAGGAGAACCAGGCGATGATGGTACTCCGGGAGAACCCGGGCAGAAGGGTCGAAGTGGTTACTCGAATATTGTCAGCGAAGGAGAGTGCATTCAGTGTCCACAAGGACCACCAGGACCACCGGTTTGTTTAAGAAATATGGAAAGTATTAAATTTTGATAATTATACTAAAAAATAAAGTAACCTAGAACTAAAATTATCTTTTCCAGGGACCAGAGGGCCCCGCGGGACTGACCTGGCTACGATGGCCGACCGGGAGTCAAGGGACATCCAGGAAAACGAGGAGAAAGAGGTAAGAAAAAAAAAGAGGTAGAAGAATTATGTTTTGGGTCTAGTAACAATATTGCTTAGTTAGTAGATATTTAACCATAAATATAATTCACTATAGGAGATCGAGGAGACCCAGGAGACGAAGGACTACCCGGAGCACCTGGAGTCCCAGGAAGCCCAGGGCCCCTGGACTCAATGGGAGACGGGTGAGTGAAAGGAAAGATACCGCGGTACTTAAGATGTAAAAGATATTCAGATCAATTTCTTTATCTTACAGTACAGTATGCCAGACTGAATATCTTGCACCTTGCTTTTTGATAGGTACTGATATTGACGCAGAATTCTTTTTCGGCATAGTTATACTACCGTTGAACGGAAGCTGACAAAATTATGCAAGCATAAAAATATACCAGCTTCAGTCAATCGGTAAACCGGGTCGTCCGGGCCGTCCTGGTCGACAAGGAGCCCGCGGGAACAAAGGAGAAAATGGATTACCTGGAGAGGTTTGTTAAAAAAAGATTGCAAATATAAATTACAATTTTAGCCAGGATTCGATGGTCCACCAGGTCCAGCCGGTAGCCCGGGTAATGATGGAGAGCCGGGTTTGGATGGAAAAGACGGAGAGCCGGGCAGAGATGGAGCACCGGGAGGAGATGCTGCTTATTGCCCATGTCCGGCCAGGAGCTCGGGGGTGAGTGGGAAATGGACCATAATAAGCTACCCCAATCCTCTTCGGCTACACGTTGGCTAGCAAGTAGCTTACTAGGCCCAAAAGGATTACAGTAGCCGATTAAAGACAGGTCCAAAACTAAAAAGGATACGTCTCGATTTGGGATCAAAGTGATTCCAAGTTTCGATTAAAGAATCGACTATCCAGATTCAGGTCAACTCCTACAACGGCCTCAATGGCGGCTACTAAATATCGATCGATCGTAATTTATCTCGCAAATTTCTTCATAACTGCTATTAAATTTATTCCAAGAAAACTTCAAGCATAATATCTACAGCAATTTCACAGGGTAATGACCAATACACGAGTCAAAGTGATCACAGCGATACGCAAATTCAATGTACATTCTGTTTTCGCACCAATATCAATTGGTTCTTCTCGTTTTGCAGAATATTTCTCGAGAACTCCAAAATGTCGGCGATTGGCTCGGGTTTCTTTAGCTTTGAATCCAAATTCACGAAAGAGCCGTCATCAAGTCTAAATTTAAATTTTACAAGTTAAGCTAAATATAAAACTGCTCTGAAAAAAAGTAAAACAACGCTGAAAATCTTTTTATTGGCTTATCTAAAAAAACAAAATGTAACTACTAAAATCAGAATAATACCGTAAAATCGTAAACCAATGTCGGCCATTCCAAAATGGGATAAACGAAGTAGATGGTATGTTGAATATCAAACCGTGTATCTGTAACGGGTAATTCGTTGGAGAAAACAAATGAAAAAGTCACCTCGTTGAATGGAATTTCATCAGCTGCTTTCCGCCGATCGAACCATGTAGCCTCCATATCGTGCAACTCCAAGGCCGCCATCAGGACATTTACATCGTAATTTCCGAGACCGATCCATGATCTATAATACTGGAAAAAGGTATCCAAATTGCATGGTTAATTTTTCGACGTTTGGATCCGGGTTTTCTTAACCGTTAATAAAAGATTTTTAAGAAAAGCAAAAATACAATTACCTGTGTGGATTAAACCATCGACCTAGGTGCCACGACAGCGTTCCAGGCTAAAATTTATTTGTTAATAACGGTAACGTTAACGTTGATAACGTTAGATGAGTAAATCACGGACAAACATAGAGCTAGAGGTATAACAGACAGGCGGAGTTTGTGCATGTGCTCGTCTGAAAAATAAAGCCCCCACCGATAGGCTGCCATCGCTGCCATCACGCAGTCGACTCTCATTCAATTGATAGCAAATCTCATCAGCACTTTCCGCTGAGAACGCTTTCTTTTGAAGGAGTGCATTCAGGCAATGAACGAGACAAAATTGTCGGCTTTGCTTTTCGTGATAGAGCGAGTTCATCGAAATCTGAAAACAAATATTAAAAATATGGCCAAGGCTTGTACAGAAATTTTTGACATACGATATTCTTTTCATAATTTCACTTTTGATGAGATCAGCTTTATCCATGCAACAATAAAATGAACCAGCAATAACAATCGTCTAGAAATGTACATAAAACTAAAAATACCTATAACAAAGAAAAAAATCTTACAACATTCTAAACTATTCCCATCCAAGATTTTTTCGAACGATCGGATTGTCCAAACTTTTTAATTCTTCTTGCTTTTCTTTCAACATCAAGTCGGGGATGTATCGGTATTGTTCGTCTTCTCGCGTTGCTTCTTTTATCGTAATCTAAAAAACAATGTTTGGTGGAAATTCTATGAAACTTACCGTTACTCCAACAGGACAATGTGCTCTAATCATTTGCGTGAAAAGTTGAAGTTTCGGCGCTGGTACTGGACCTATTCGCACCTGAAACAAAAAGTGCATTACTGTGAAAAAAATAATATTGACATTTTAAAACTTACTACTCGATCATACACAGCCAATTCGATTTCATCAGCGACTATCGTTGATTGAGGCTTGTAAGTGAGCGCACGACATGTTTGAGCCGCAACAGCGTAACTAGAAATCAATGAAGATTGGTTGTAAACTGAAGGCTTAAAAAAGCATAGTGGTATTATTGTAAACAAACCTTTCAACAATAGGAAAGTTGAACCTTCGTGCTATCTTGTCCACAAATGATTGATATTTTTCGAGTGGCACAAAATCGTATCCTTGAAGTCTGACATTGAGAACTGGAAATCTAAAAAGGAATTTTGTTATGAACCAAAAGCGTTACTTACTCTGGATATTCTCGTGGATCCTCAAATTTTGGTTCGTATCGTTCCAGCGGATCCTTTTGGCCAGCTAAAATAAAAAAAATAGTTTAATTACTCGCATGGACTTTCGTACATTTCTTTATCTATGACAAAACCCCAACCTTTTTCCCGAAGTGTTGCAAGTCTCCTTGTCGCCGCCAATCCGACTCGTCCACGGGCCAACGCTGATAACATTCCTTAAGCCATTTATATAAACCGCATAATTTAAAAAAAAAAATAAATAAATAAGCACACAATCAATAAATGATGAGATTACAAAATACACAAGCAAATCGTAAAGCCAAGAAACATCGAAAAATCACTCATTGGTCACAACGACATGAATAAGACACATAGAAGAAATGAGCATCCAAGCACACAAAATGGAAAAAGAAACAGGTGGGCAAAATTGACATTTTTTTTGATCGGCCTGAGTTGCAACATTATTCACTTCATCAGTTGTACTCTTTCAATTGAATCGTTTGAGGAACTCTTCGGCACTCACACGCGCTCTGGCATTCAAAGCCAACTTCATATCGCTGATCTCCTTGTCGATTTCTTGCATAAAATGAATTAGGAAATCGACCAGCTTGTGCTTGTACATCGACGAGGTGTGCACGTTTGTGATGAGAAACGAGATGTCGTATCCCTCTATCGGTTTCCTTCTCAAAATCACAAAGTTGTCGGCTCGTTGACACATGAAACGCTAAATTTTATCTATTAGTAAAAAGTAAATACACAATAAACAGACAGTGATAGTTGTGCATATATCCTTAATATACTTGTATATAATCCTTAAAATTATAACGTTCTTAATATAATAAACAATACGCACCGTGAACTTGTGCGCTAGAATGCGTTCAATGTCGTCCGATTGTTTGATGGCCAATGAGATGCGAACCGAGTTGACGGAAGGCTCGATGAGCACTCGTTCGAGCTTGTTGCGTGCAACTACGACGGGAGTCATCAGCAATTCCTTCGATGTTTGCACCTCGACTTCGGGTTTGTCGTGTCGCTCGACAACCTGTGAGCTAAACTGCTCGAGACAGAGAGCTGCCTGAAGAGTCGACTTGACAGCATCCAGGTAGGGTGCCAGCGTGGCGCTCATTTCTACTGATTCAACGGGACCCGGTTTACCTGAAGTTTGAAAATCTTATCAAAGTTTCTAAATAGCTTGTGAGAAATACTGGCTTTGAAAGTTAGACCATTTAAAAGAGAGTCACAAAAAATCGAGGCAATTTCTAATTTTGGTAATAACCAATATCAAAAAATTCCCGCACAAATGAAATATCTTTATTGAACCGTAATTTGCCGAGTAAACATAAAGATAAGGACGCGATACTTTCAATAGGACTCAGACTAGCAAAGAAGTAAATACTTTTTCGTTGAAGAAATAATCACATACCCCGTCAAAAGAATCTTGGCAACAACTGGGAAACAAAGTCGAGGAAGTAGAAAGAAAACACCAAAAAAGAACTGGACGTTTTTGAGCAAATCAGAAAAGAAAAAAAAATGTACAGAAGCATTTTCAAAAATCACGCGAAACTGAAACAATAAATTATTTGAGAGTTTTGCTGAGTGTTAACGAAAAAAATATAATAAGCTTACAATTTTTAAGGTTAATAAAGGAGTGAAAAAGTAGATTTCCGGAGAGGGGGTTGAACCCTCGACCTTTTGTTTTCCGGGCAATTGCTATAACCACGGGGCTATTAGGTATCTTAACTTGCCAAGATAAAGAAGGAAAGATAAGGGAAAAGAAAGGAAATACCTGGGTCCTCAAAACCGTTAAGAAATTACCACAAGGAATGCCGATTCACATTTGGCTGCGGAATATCTGGGTATGCGGTTGGATAGGGAGGTTGAACCATTGAAGTAGATCGACCGCCCATTGGTGTATTGAACAATTGATCTTGTAGTAAGTTTGCCAGCTTCTCTGACTTGATTTTTCTAAATAACAATTTCCTAGATAAATAGCTTTGAATACATAAAATGGCTAACCGTTTCGTAGACCAGAAAAAGCGTAATGACCTAGTTTAACACCCCTAACATAATTAAAAACTTTTTTTTTTACCTTGTGTGTGCGAGCTTTTTCTTTTCGAGAAATCCTTTAATAAAGACATCAGCGCTTAGCGCTCCATCCTCGAATTGCCGAGCGAGTTCCTAAAAATGTTTTCATAAACCAAAAATTAAGAGTTTCAATAAGCCTAGTCTCGCATATAAGAAGTTACCTCAGCTTCTTCATCAGCTTTTTGAACTTCCACTTGCAGTAAAGCACTTGTCGTTTCCAGGGATCGATCAGTGGATGTTTTATCTAAAACAGACGACATTTTATGTCACACAACTTGCTCTGTATTCACTCGTTCATGCAAAACGAAGTAAGGAAAAATAATTTACCTAATTGGCTCTTTAACCCTTCGACTTCTTGCTTCAATTGTTGTGCATTTGCATGTGTTACTTTCACTTGCGCCTTCAATTGATTGATTCGAGGCTCCTAAAAGCAATGTGTACTTCAAACGTGACAAACAAATTAGTACCTGTGCCAAATTCCATTCAGCCAATGATTTGTTTTGCGCAAGCTCCGTCTTTTTGTCTTGGGGAACGTTTCGGATCTGAAAACGGATCAGAAGTACAAGAGTTCAATACCAAAGTTTTACGACGTTAAAAGCATACCGTTTCTTACGAGCCTAGGTAGTAACAAAATTCTAGATACTTTGACATTTTCACTTATTTCGGTAGTCACAACAACAAATGTGTTTGTTAGTTGCCCATCAAAGTTTATCTCACTCAAAGCAAATAAAAAATTCAGAAAAATATAACAAACCTGTGAAAGTCCGTCGATCATCGCCTCCATTTGAGCGTCATCTTCGAGAAGGGCCTTCAGCTGATCGGTGGTCATATTCCTCGCGGATGCCATCACACTTTGCACACACAAATCGACGATGCTATCATAGCCGGTGTACATGATCGATTCGGTCACGCTGAAACGAAACATGAAACAACTACACGTTAATCACCAAGATGAGTCATCATCGATCATGGAAAAGAGAGAAAATGCAAAAGCAAGCGCGTGTCACAGATGTGTTCAATAAACTTTGCGCACTACCAATAACATCTTAACTCTAAAGTGAATCAAAGAAATTAAGAAAGCAAACATTTTGGAAAGGCTTAAGCTTATCGAGCTGGGGTTTAAAAAGGCGACCAGTTCTCTGACGCAAAATTACCCTTTGCAAAGAACAGAACTACGGTAGAAAGAGCGCGGGATGCGAATTTTAGCTACAAGGAACGAACAAAGAGCCAGAAGTAGAGTATTTCATCCGCTCAAGTAATTGCTTTCTATAACGCGCCCTCCAAAGGCGAAATTCAAAATATTCAATATCGTAAACTGAATATCTTTAATTGTTGCCTTTAAAGGGCGCGTTATAGAAAGCTATTACTTGAGAGGAGCACGCTCTAGCCACAAGTGTAAAACTTTGCCTAAAAACGGCTGAAAAACTTGTGAAAATACTTTTAGTCTTAAAAAGCAAGTAAAATATTCAAGTAATCGATCGAATATCTTAAAATTTGAAATAAAATATGTTAATTAAATTAAGCCATTTTATTTTAACAAACTTTTTAAGAAATTTTAAAACAAACTGCGAAAAAGCTTCAAGAGCTAACTGTGTTTCAAAAAATGTTGAGCAGAAGATATAACTTTTATTAAAGCTTGCTATTTGTACACGTTGAGTTCTTTCCTTTGACCTTTTCAGTGGGTTTATTGTCGTCAATCATCGATTGGGTCATCACATCTTGGAAAGTTGACTCAAACTCGTTGAAAGTGCCACTGAAAGTTGAAAAATGTATCGATCATCGATATAAGTACCGTAATCCCTGTAATATCGACCTCTTTTGTACAGATTTTATGCAAAGCGACAAACCAGTACAGGTATTACGGTAGAGAAAGTTACGTTAAACATTTGATTTGGATCCTGTTGCTTTTTTTGTACTTGATTTTTATAAAACTTACCTTAAATCCTCGTGAAACGATTGCATTAACGAGGCCGAGTCGAGGTTTTCTTGCTGAAAATTTGTGATTGATGATTATAGCCGAGTCAAAGTCAAAGTCTGGGACCTAGTCAAAATAGCGCCGCCAAAACAGCGCCATTCAAAACAGCGCCCGTACAAAAATAGCGCCGTTCAAAACAGCGCCCATACAAGTTCCTTTCAAGTAATTCTTTTTTCTGAAACAATTCAGCTACAGTATACCGAGATAAAAAGGACACGGTTTAGAAAACAATTTCGTGCAACTTATATTCCCGAAACAAAATCTCCGGTTGCAATACCTTTGGCTGAAGTGTTTGCAGAAAATGCTCCAACTGGTGTCGACTTGTCGAGGTTTCCATCATGAAAAGTTTTGCATTTAGATGATTTTTTTTGTTGTTCTGAAATTTTTGGCATTGGTCAGAGCTTTTTTTCTGAGAAAATGTGGACATCTCATGGGAAAACATGCATAAAATATGAAGAGATTAGCTTTTACTAGAAAGAAAAAGCTGTGGGGGAAACGAAAGATTTTAACTAACGGGCTAGGAAGTAGCTTACAAGAATTACCACAATTAGCATTCGATAGTAGACTTGCTTCGATAGTAGACTTGCTTCGATAGTAGACTTGCTTATTGGCTAAAGTTAGTGCAGAATAGGAGATGGATTACTGTAAAAAACCCGAGAATAACTAAAAGCTACCGTAATCAGGTTGCCCTTTTTTTGGAAAAACCAGCTACACTCTAAAAGATCTACCGTAATCCAGCTGACTTTTGATAAAAAGCAAATTTTTATTAGAGTAAACGTTTGTCCGGCTCACTCAGCTACGGTAACTTCTAAACAATGACCGGAATACTGTAGTAGCTTTACCAGATGTGCACTATAAAAAGACTTACAAAAGATTTATAATAGACTTACAATAGCTTTATTGATTTAATTCAGAACGGAAATTCTATTTGAAAATTCTTCAAAGGAAATTCTTCAAACAAAAAACGCAAAATAAATTAAAGAGGTAAATGCTTTGGTCAAACGAAAGAACTTGAAACCTAAATTTTTAATTTTTCAAAAAATGTCAATGTTTAGCATTTGGGCGGATTAGCACTTAAAAAAACTGAAGCTGGAGAAAAAAGAAAAAAAAAACGCGGAGAAATGACATAAAGGTCTCCTCGGGGGTGTATTGGGATGTCTACATGAAAAAAGGAAAAAAGGAAAAAGATGGGAACAACGACAAAAAAGGATTAGCGGAAATTGGGTGCCAATAGAAAGGGCAGAACATAACAAAAAGAAGAATTGAGGAAAAGGGGAGGACCAAGAATGGATGAAGGATTGGGGGAGTGACTGGAAGGGAGATGAGGGCAATGGGAAGAGTCACACGCTAAAGACCGGAAACCAATAACGGGATTTCCACTAGCCGGACACATTTCTGGCAACAGATAGGGCAATTGCTTTAGTATTATTGGTGTGGGGAATTGATCCGGAATCCGGAATGGAATTGACTATTAGGCGGCTTTAAAATCCTGAGTTTCAATTTAACACATTGGCGACCAGATTCATTCTCCTCTGAAACGGACGTCCGACTCAGAGATGGACGTCCGACTCAGAGTCGGACTCAGAGTCGGACGTCCGTTTCAGAGGAGAATGAATCTCCTCAGATTCGGACATCCGGATCGGAGATGGACGTCTCCTCAGATTCGGACGTAACATATATACCAACTGGGGTTACCAGTGGGGGGGGGGTTTATTGCATACAGGAAATACACCATTCACGTTTCACAACACACACAATACTAGGCTATATTAAATTAAGTTGACTAGTCTACCCATCTAATCAAAATCGGACGAAGCCTACAGTACTCGGATCAGGGAAGAGACCCCTGGCTAATCTCATGGATTCGAACCAGAGACTAACCGATATTGAAAGATCCAAAAAGTGGATAGATTGGATAAAAATTAGAGACAAGAAGGTTGAAAGAGAAAGGAAACGTTTTAGAAAATTGAATTGGCTAGAGATTCTCATTATCCTCACACCGGAACAATATGGAATCGTTTAGTGTTTTTGTAGAATCTCGATTTGAAATCAAAAACTATAGCTGCTAAGGATTCTAAGGAAAAACAAAAGATGAGTTTCCTTTCGCAACGCGTACTTTAGGCTTCCTAACCTAAATTTCTAGTTATTCGAAGGGAAAACAAAAGGGAGAAGGGCACAATCGCACATGATCTGTGAATAGTAATAGAAAATAGGATTTAAAGTGAGAAGTTTGTGGAAATGGTGATTTTCTGGGTGATTTTCTGGGTGAATCTCTGTGCGTCACTCATCTGTTCCCATCCCTTTTCCAATCGTTCCAATCGTTCCCCCAATCCTTTGTTCACCCAGCCTCATAAACCATCGGGTTGTGGGATGGTTGTAAATTCAAAATTTTCGCACCCTGCCCCCATCTATTTTGGTATCTGCTGAATACATTAAACTTTTGAATAAACACAAAAAAAAATCAGGAATGACTAGGATAATGTGACAAGAGACCGAGATATTGTATCTTTGAGTGACTGTCAGAGTTTCGGGATAGCATTTGAAGTGGAAAAGAGTTGAAATACGCCTTTCTACCTCCGATTCACTCACTCATTTAATTTAAGCATGCAAATTTTGATATTAAGGCAAAAATTGGAAAAATGCATTTTCGGTCCGCTCGTTTATAGGTGTGCAACGGAAATTCACGTCTTAAGCGCTTTAAAATCAACCCTTTCAAACGTTTTTTAGCTTTGGATAGCATTTTACTATCTAATGGCTCTATCTAATAGTGGAAAAACTTTTGAAAAAGTCGATTTTTAAGGGGCTTAAGACGTGAATTTCCGTTTTACACCTATTGACGAACGGACTGAAAATGCAAATGTCTAATGATTATGATAGCTGTCTAAATTAAATTCTTTACGAGTTTACGAACGATTTGCTTTTACAAGATTTATTTAGTCAATTGGGCTATTGATAATTCAGTGTGCACAAAAAAAGAAAAAAACGAAAAAACTGCAAAACAGCATGGGTTGACACTTTTTTAAAGAGACTTATCCATTGGGGATAAGTTACTTTTGATAACAAGGAGATAGATGCATTTTTAAATAGAGGATTGAAATATCGTAGTTAAGAAATTATCGTGTTATCAAAAAAGTTGGATATGCCAAAAAAATGTTAGTATTTGTTAATTATATCTGAATTGTAAATGAAAGTGGACTAGTTTTTGGCTCATTAGAGTTTAGAGTTCATTAGAGTTTAATTACTGGAATACTTTGAAACATACTTTTTACCAATACAGTCAAACCTCTCTACGACACCCTTCAGGACCGAGAGCAGAGTGACGTTATATAGAGGTGTCGTTATATAGAGGTGACATTATATAGAGGTGTCTTTATATAGAGGTTTCGTTATATAGAGGTGCCGTTAAGTAGAGGTGTTCTTATATAGAGGTGTTGTTAGATAGAGGTGACATTCTATAGAGATGTCGTTATATAGAGGTGACATTATATAGAGGTGACATTATATAGAGGTGACATTATATAGAGGTGACATTATATAGAGGTGTCTTTATATAGAGGTGACATTATATAGAGGTTTCGTTATATAGAGGTGCCGTTAAATAGAGGTGTCCTTATATAGAGGTGTTGTTAGATAGAGGTGTTGTTAGATAGAGGTGTCGTAGAGAAACAAGCAACGTTAGGTTTTTAACCGATTGAGTTATGTAGAGGTTTTTCAAGTAATTTATTGAAAAAAAATTAACAATCAAAACAGACAAATTAATAATTTTTAAAGTTTCGAGAAAAAAGCAGTTAAATTTGTCTGTTTACTGCTAACAACAGACTCGGTATCAAAAAATCAATGGTATATTTAGCTGGCAGAAATTCTTTGTTCGAATCTTCTCTTCCATAATTTCAAAACATTTGAAAATATTGATAGGCTCGATCCTTGAGCCTCGATCCGTGAAATTGGCTCTTCCACTTCAAGGAATTCGTCGATATCGCTTTCCGAAGACACTTCCGAGCAATCATTAACTTTGTTATCGGCTGTAATTTTTTTTCAATGTTTTTATACTTGATATGACAACGTTTTAATCAACCAAAGCAAAATCCATGGCATTCATAGAATCCCCAATGCCGTGATGATCAACTTCTTCAAGAAATCCTCCAAAAATCTTTTCACATTTTCATCTTCATCATTGTTGTTGATGATGTTGTCATCATCATATTTTTCTAAAAACTGCCTTGCAACAATGTGCCAACGTCGCAGCTTTCACTTCGGACCATGATTGGTCAAGCAGCTGAAACGAGTCCAAAAGATCAAGCTCGAATGGTTTTTTTGATCGATTGCTGTAATTAGCAAACAAAACTATAAAAATGCCACTTTTGGCACAAATTTTGGATAAAATCCCATTTTGTAAAGCTAAAAGCATGGTAGGTATGATGTTGCAGTTTCTTAAGTGCTGTGACCCTGAACGAGAGCTCCTAGTGGGTCATTTTTGGTAAGCAGAACTGGCGCTGTGGGATGAACCAAACGTCGGGTTAAAGTGCTTAAGTGTCCACTCATGAGGCCCCATGAAAGGGGTTAGTTGATATAGACAACAAGACGGTGACGATGGGAGTCGGTACCCGCTAAGAAGCGTGTAACAACTCACCTGCCGAATCAACTAGCCCTGAAAATGGATGGCGCTTGAGCGGACCACTTATACCCGACCATTGCCGACTTGAGCGCGATGCCCGCCTGGTCGCAATGAGTAAGAGGGTCGCGGTGGTTTGCGTTGAAGGCTTTGCCAGCTCCTTTGCCAGGTCCAGCTGGAGCTTCCATCGGTGCAGATCTTGGTGGTAGTAGCATTTTAGCAAACAAATCTTTAAAAAGGTACGAAAAGTGACGTTATATAGAGGTTGACGTTATAAGTGTATCGTTGTATAGAGGTCTTTTTCTTACCATTTTGTGTGGTGGCTAACCAAATCAAAAAAAAATTGACGTTATTTAGAGGGTGACGTTATTGCAGATGAGTCGTTATAGAGAGTTATTGACTGTACATTCAAATCCAGACAAAAATAGAAGAGTTTAGCAAATAGCAAGCTAAAATACACTTTGTCCATGCCAAATTAGTTCAGAAAATTTCGAAATGACACTGTATATTTTGAAACTTTAAAACAAGATGCCAAATTGAAACCCAAAAAATTCAATAGCTAACAAATGACAGGTAAAACGTTAACATAATTAATCCAGAAAATGCCTGTATGCTAAATATTTTGCAACTTTATAATTCAAAGTCAAATGCTAAATGCCTAAATTACCAGCTGGTAAATTCAAATCCGGAGAAAAGTAGAACTTATAGTTAGAGAATCACAAGCT